GACTGAGGTTAGCCTGGTCTACATAGCAGATTCTAGGCCAGCGAGGGCTACAGGGAGACCCTGTCTCAAAAAGACCAAAAAAGGAGACATTAAAACCAATACCATGTTGGAGTGTTCGTTCCCACATCTGCAGGAGAAGTTATGTGCTTGGTGTGCCTAGCTTATTTCACTTAACATAGTTTCATCCATTTTGGTACAGATGGAAAGATTTCCTCCTTCTTTTTAGCTGAATGATACTCAACTGTGTGTTTATATACACAACATTTTTTATCTAATTTTACAATATTGCAAAAATTTGAAAGGGAAAGAGTCCTTTCCAGCATTCTGCCACCAAAATCAGACACAACACACATGAAAATTACTGGCCAATACATCTAATGAGTACAGATGGGAAACTTTCCTGTAAAACATTAGCAAATCTAATCCAATAGCATATCAAAAAGATAATACCCTCTAGTGAAATGAGATCTGCCCTAGGGATGCAAGATGGTTCAATATACACAAATCAATAAGCATGATACATCACAGCAACCAAATGAAGTACGGAAATCAATCATCTCACCCAATGTAGAAAAACCATTAAATAAAATTTAGCATCCTTTCATGATTAAAAACAAACTCTAAGGGCTGGAGAGATGGCTCAGCAGTTAAGAGCATGGTTGCTCTTATAGAGGACCTGGGTTCAATTCCTGGCATCCATATGGTGGCTAATAATTGTCTATAACTCCAGTTCCAGGGGATCCAACACCCTCTTCTGACTTCACAGGCATTGCATTACACGGGTGCACTTACATACATGCATGCAATACACTTAAAAAACTCTTAAATCTAAAATAAGTGGGGTAGGGGGCTAGAGAGATGACTTAGTGGTTAAGAGCACTTGCTGCTATTGCAGAGAACCCTGGTTTAAGTCACAGGACCCAAATGGTGGCTCATAACTGTCTATAACCCCAGTTCCAGGGAGACCAATACTCTCTTCTGGCCTCTGTGGGTACCAGACGCATATGTGGTGCACACACGTACATGTAAGCCATTATATATACACATAAAATAAAAATAAATAAAATAATTTTAGAAATACAAAAAAAAACCCACCTTAGCGATTTATAGAGGAACACATCTCAGCACCTTTAAGGTCGTCTATGCTGAGTCTACAGCTAACAGCATATTGGATTCAAAAAAAGCTGTTGTTCATATTTCACTGTGATCTGGACCAAGACCAAGATGTCTACTTTTACTACTTCTAGTCAACATGATGCTGGAATTCTTAGCCACAGAAAGTAGACCAGAGAAAGAAGTGAAGAGTACAGGTATGAAAAGGAAGAAGTGAACCTGTGAAACTGTCCCTGTGTGCAAATGACAGACACAGACTCTTATCTATAAAGGTTAAAGACTCAGCAACAACAACAGCAGCAACAAAACCCTTAATGCTAACATATTCAGTAAGGTTTCAGCATACAATACCAACATATGAAATCAACGATCAGCACTATTAAGTTTGAAGCCAGCCTGGTCTACATAGCAAGTTCCAGGCCAATCTGATCCATAGAGCAAGTTCAAGGCCAGCCAGGGTTACTTGATGAGACCTTGTCTCAAAATAAAAAACATAAACAAATAAATAAATAAATAAATCATCACCAGCTCTACACATCAACAGCAAACTAGATGAAATCAAGAGAATAATATAATTACAATTGCTATAAAAATAAAATACCTAGAAATAAATGTAACTAAGGAAGTGAGACTATTCTGTAATGAAAACTATAAGATACAATCAAAAAAAAAAAATCAAAGGTGTCACCAAACACTGGAAAGACATTTCATGAACATAAATTAGAATAAATAATGTTGTTGAGCCAGTCAAATAGGTCAGCAGGGAAAGGTATCTACTGCTAAGACTGATGACCCAAGTTCCAGTTCAGACCCACAGGATGGAAGAAGAGAACCAATGCCCTCACATTGTTCTCTGACTTCCACATGTGCACTGAGGCATGCACATGACATGTGTGTACACACACACACACACACACACACACACACACACACACACAAATGCAATAAATTTTTAATTAAATGAATGAATAAATAATATTGCTAAAATACTCCTATGTGGTATAAATGAGAAATGTCCTCCATGGGTTCATGCATCTGAACACTTGGTCCCCAGTTGGTGCTGTATGGGGAGGTTAGAGAACTTTTAGGAGGCCCAATCTTGCTGGAGGACATACTTTACTGAGGGCAGGTTTTGCAGGTTTATAACCTCACCCTACTTCCTGGTCTTTCAGTCTGCTTCCTGTGCGTGGATAGGATGTGACCACCAGCTTCTTGCTCCTGCTGGCATGCCATGCCTTTCCCACCATTATGGACTGTAGCCCTCTGAAACCATAAAACAAACTCTTTGTTCCTTAAATTGCTTTTGGTTGTGGTATTTTATCGCAGCAGCAGAAAAGCATCTAATACCTCAGGGTATTTTACCACAGCAATGAGATTATGACTAAGACAGCACCCAATGTGAGCTATAGACTCTGTAATCCCCATCAAAGCATCAATGGCATCCTTCACAGGAAGAGATAAAAATAGTCCTGATTTTTTTTTTATTATGTGTATGAGTGTTTTGCCTATGTGTATGTAAGCACACCATGTGTGTGCAATACCTGTGGAAGCCAGAAGAGGGCATCAGATCACCTAGACAGACAGCTGTTAGCTGCCATGTGAGTGCTGGGAACCAAACCTGGGTCCTCTGCAAGAGCATACAATGCTTTCTCTTTCTGGAGCCATCTCTCCAGTCCCAATCCTAAAATCTTTATGGAGCCATAAAATATTTCAAAAAGCTAAAGCAATCTTCGTCACAGAGAAGAAAACTGAAGACAGCTAAACTTGACTTCAAGTCATACACAGAGCTATAGAATCACCATGGTATTGGCATAAAAACAGACACTTATCCCTGTGTAACAGAATAAAGAATTCATAAATGAATTGTACATCTGCAGTCTACTAATTTTTGACAAAGGCACCAAGGACATTCACTGGGAAAAAGATAATTCTCTTCAATCAATTGTCTTGAATTGTGCTAGTAAAACAATATAGCTACGCAGAGAAGGATGAAATTAAAAGCTTACCCTCCAATGTATATAAAAAATCAACACAAAATGAATATATGACTCCAATTTAAGAGCTGAAACAATAAAAATTCCAGTAGAAAGCATAGCGGAAATGCTTCATGATGTTTGTCTGGACAAAGATTTCATATATTTGACCCCAAAAATCAGAGGCAAAAGAAAACTGATAAATGGTTTTCATCTTTACCCATTAGCCGCTAGCTGTGTGACCATGGGTCATTTATTTTTCTTTCTGCCTCAGTTTCCTTATCTGTCAAAGGAGGCTAAAGATAAGGGTTGTCTGGTAGAGTGACTGCCAAACTTGAATGAGATAATTCTGAGCTCTGGCAGTACTTGTAAATGTGAGACTCTCAGTGACTGTTGACTGCTATTCCTTTACTGATTTGTAGACAAGGTCTCATGCAACCCAGGCTGACTTCAAATTTGCTACCTAGTCAAGGATGACCTTGAACTTCTTACCCTCTCGTTTCTACCTCTCAAGTGTCTAAGATGACACCATTCACCATTCCCTGTTTGTGAGGTGCTGGAGGTAGAATCCAGGGCTTTGTGTGTGTGTGTGTGTGTGTGTGTGTGTGTGTGTGTGTGTGTGTGTGTGTATGGCAGGTACTTTATCTATTGACCTATAACCCAAGTCCAGTTGCTACATTTTATTACTCTGGGGGATGCCCCTTCTGCTTTCTTAACACTGAGATCTATTTAACTTAGGGGTGAGGTAGGGGGACCCACTGCTTACTCTGTGAAGCCTTATCTGCCTTATGTGAACTGGCCAGCTGTTCACAGGTGCACAGATCTGAAGGTGAATCAGGGTTGAGTCTGTCTCACAGGTGTGTAGCCATTAGAGGAGTTCAGTGAACTCAACAGACATGCCTTGAACTGGTGGTGTGGGCTTTAGGGGCTTCTGAACCCAACTGTTTGAATCACAGTGAGATGGTACAATGAATACTGATGCTTTAAACTCTGTATTTCAAATTGGTTTATTGCACAGCAAGAGATAACTGGAATAGGTTAATGAGGGGACTGTGGCAGACGATGTTGGGATGGACATTGAGAGGACTCATGTGCTTGGGTATTTCCAGTCTGCAGAGATGGGGAAGGGCAGACAGAGTGCACATTTTAACAGACATTTCCTTTCACTTTCCACTATTTGGGAGCGTTCATATCTATCACTACCCCTCATTATTAGTTTTTGCTGCTGTATTGGGGGGGTATGCTGGGACTGGAACCCAGGGATTTTTACATGAGAAGCAAGCACTCTCACATTGAGCTACAGTCAAGCCCTTTCTTTTTATTTTACTTTTTACTTTATTATTTTATTTTGAGAAAGAAGCTCATTAAGTCACTCAAGCTGGCCTTGAACTCACTGTGTACCTAGGCCAGGCCTTGAACTCATGATCCTCCTGCCTCCGTGTAGCTGTATCCTTATTGAGACTTGTGCATTACTTGGTGGTGAAATAGTAAACAGAAACTAGGGCCTGCTTGGCTCCTAAGTACTCATGTAGATTGATAGTGCAAAGTTAGTGACTTTTCACCCCTTTTTAATCAAGCATGCTTTCAACTTCTCAGACTCGTGGGAAGATTTGCCTGCCATCATTAACCTTGCTATGTGTATTTGCACAGATTAAAGCCTCAAGTCCCCCACAAGACATGTTCCCCTCACTCACTGTTTGCTTGAAGTAGAGTCCAAATGATAAGACTACAAGATAAAAAGGTCCTGGTTTATCCTAGGGGAGAGAATGCTCGGATCCTCAGACCACATCGGCTGCCTTTGGGTAGGCTCCCCCACTAGCTGAGAAGCAAAGGTAAAGCAAGCAGCCCTGAATTCCCAAGAGCCTTTTCTCATAGACCCAGGCTGAGTATGTCTCACCTTACTGATCTTATTGTAGATGCTGATCTTCTGGACAGTTGCACTTTTCCTGCTGGGAGCAGCCCAAGGTAAGAACCGCCATGCTGCCCATGTGAACCCAAGTTCTCAGAGAAAGCTTTAGGCTTTGCAAAACTAAACGTTGCAGGAGTTCCAGGCTATTCCAGAATCCAGGAAAAGGTGGTGGAACTTAACTCTCTGGGGAATGAGCTGGACAGTTGAGGGAAAACAGCTCCCTATGCCATGCAAGTACCCAAAATTTTAAGGGAAAACTCCAGAACATTTACAGCTGAAAGGGACAGCATTTGCTCTTGTGTTAATTTTTTTGCTGGAGTTAACATGATGACCTCTCAATACTGATTGTTACATTAGTCAAATAAATATGTCAGAAGCTTTGAGGAGGGAGGTGTCTCAGAACATTTACGTTTTGATGGTGAGTCTAGGCATCTTGTAGATTCTAGGCATTCAATGAGAGGGGTCCAGGAGCAAGAATGGGGTGGGGGATCTATCCTTTGTCTTTAGACCACCCCTGAGCAGGAGTGGGAAGGGCCTAGACAGCAGGGTGCTCCAGAGCCTGGCCCCTGAAACATGTCTTTGAGGCAATCCATTCTTTCTCCTCAGGAAAAGAAGTTTGCTATGATGACCTCGGGTGCTTTTCTGACACTGAGCCCTGGGCAGGGACCACCATCAGGCCTCTGAAACTTCTCCCCTGGAGCCCTGAAAAAATCAATACTCGCTTTCTACTCTACACCAATGAGAACCCAGACAACTTCCAGGTGAGACTTCAGTTCTTGAACTTGGGAAGGAGCACCTTATCTCTGCACCTAACCCCCCCACCTCCCCACCTCCCCAGACCCCTGCCCTGCCTACCCCTTCCCTCCATCTGCCCTGTCCCACCTTCTGGATGAGTAAAGGTTCACGATTGCCAGATCCTCCCCCTGGCTATGTGGGTCTGGTCTGGGTAAAGGGTTTACTGTCCAACCAGTCCACAGGAATGGTAAGTCTATAAGCCCCATTCTAGGTAGGGACCACTGACCAGGGAAGATGGGCAGGTGTGAAGAGGTTGGGATTGACCACCCAAAATAGCTGGCTTTGTGTTCAGCCTCAAGAGGCGAAGACAGTGGACCAGGCAGGAAAAAGGAAGGGACTGAGATGGGCCTGAGGGGCAGGTTGTCCAAAAGCTCTGTCTGTCACAGCTTCTTCACATCTCTGACCCATCAACCATCGAGGCCTCCAATTTTCAAGTGGACAGGAAGACCCGGTTCATTATCCATGGCTTCATAGACAAGGGAGAGGAGAGCTGGGTGATAGACATGTGCAAGGTAGGAATCGCTCTCTGATCCTTGTGGCCATTTCCTACTGACAGCCTCCTCACTTTACAGTGGTAATCCATGAGCCTGAAAACGGGAAATCCTCACGTATTCCTCTGTGTTTCTGACCCACATCTGCAGCCAGAAGCAGGGACGTTGCTCTGAGAGCTTACCCTCCCACTCCATAAGGATTTCTCCTTACGTTTCCAGAAAGGGTGCTTGTATTTCTACAAACAGATATTGTGGTTCTTTTTGTTCAAATCTTCCATACATTTCCAAGAGTCAGAGATGTGGCTGTGACCATTTATTTAAGACATGAAGAACTAATACTGACAGAATGACTCAAGAGGCCCAATAAAAAGTGTTTCTGTGGAATAGAACATATGCTGGTGAGGAGAGCCACAGGAGGACACAGACCTGAACACACACACACACACACACACACACACACACATACACACACACACACATGCACGGAACACAGGCATATGTGCACACAGACATATATGTACATATAACCATGTATCTGCATATATATATACATATATATATACACGAGATCACATCCTCTTTTCTTTTAAAATATACAAATTCCATCTATTTAGCTACGAAATTGCCCAGCAACTGCCTTCCCCATATACATTAATAAAGCGCCAAGTGATGATGCTGACAGGAAAAATCATACCCTCCATTAGTCACTCTGCACGTGTCATCCTGCTTTCTGATCATTAACAAGCATCTTGTTAATACAGCTTATATCTCAAATTCTCCAGGATCTTAAGGGATTCCTCGGGGATGCTTTGAAAATGAAAGTCCTAAGGAAAGCAACTCTAAGCCTCTTGTGTCATGTGGCTACTTGTCTTAGCACTGTATATGTGAAAAGGTGGGAAGTAGATTTTAAATTTTAATTCTAAGATGACCATACACACTGCCTGATGGGGCTCCTAAGGGTAGATTAGTTTCTTTGACATATAAGACGTTTCTCTTTCCACATTTTGTCCAGCTTTTGAATCAGTGCTGTTCTAGTCTTCAAATACCTGCAGTGTGCATTTCCTTCACAAAATGCTATGCCATCCAGACTGTAGAAAGTAACTCTGCCCTACCCCTTTACAGCTAGGAATTGCCCAGAAGGCTGACGTGTCACCATACCAGCAGATACAGGAGGTGATATAGACATTGGTCACCAGAGACAATTCTCTCTCTCTCTCTCTCTCTCTCTCTCTCTCTCTCTCTCTCTCTCTCTCTCTCTCTCTCTCTCTCTCTCTCTCTCTCTCTCTCTCCCCCTCCCCCACTCAGTCTTTTGAGACAGGGTCTCCTGTGGCCCAGCTGACCTGGAACTCACCATGTAGACCAGGTTGGCTTCAATCTTACAGAGATCCACCTGCCTCTGGCCCATGAGTGCTGGGATTAAAGGCAAGCGCCACCACACTCTGCATGAGTTCTCTTCTTATAGACCAGGATTCCTTTGATGGTGCAATTGATCACCCTTGTCAAATGTGGCTGAAGAAACAAGAGGGGCCAGTTTTTCCTTCATCTGTGGGTATACATTTGCTTTGTTCCCAGTATTTACCCTGCTGGACTGTAGGATCCTCTGGACAGAGTCCAGCCCATGCAGCACTCCAGCTAGGAGAAGAGATGAGGGACACTTCTGAGCACTGGCTGGAAGGGTTCTGGTGTCCTATGGTAACACCTCTTGTCTCCCCAACCCTAGAACATGTTCAAGGTGGAGGAGGTGAACTGCATCTGTGTGGACTGGAAGAAGGGCTCCCAGACCACCTACACACAGGCTGCCAACAATGTGCGAGTAGTGGGTGCCCAGGTGGCTCACATGCTTGACATCCTGGCGGTAAGTGACCCTGTGGGTGGAGGCAACAGAAAGATGAATTTAGGAGTCATAGATTTTTTAAAAGGTACCAAAAACTAGGCAGTGCCTTACCACCACATGAATGGAAGAAAAAATACCAGTTAATACTTAGTAGGTGGGATTTTATGATCCTCTCTTTGGGGTCCAGACTATCTGGCTCCAGGAGCTGCCCACTACACAGGTGGGCCCAGTTCAAGGTAAAACCTAGGAAAAGCCCAACAGAGCTAGAGGGCAGCATATGCAACTGGCAAGTGCAAATCTCACTTGCCTGTGACTGTGGGTTCCACTGATGCAGGAAAACGCTTCCCATTGTGACCACTCAGTTGTTTTTATTCCTGTCTTGGGCTTCCATTTTAGCTAAGTCTTTCATTGTTTATGTTAATTCAGGTTTGGTGTGTGTGTGTGTGTGTGTGTGTGTGTGTGTCTAGTTTCTACAACAGGTCAAAGTCCCAGCCTTTCCTGTCTTATACCTAATAGGTCTACAAAGAACCAACAGGCTCTAATTGCTTCTGCAATGCTGCAGAGATCAGAATTCATGATGTTTGCATAGGAAGCAATGTAGACCCATCAATGAAGGGTCTGTGGGGGGGATATCACAGAGCAGTGCATGCAAATGCCTTGTAGTAAGGTTACTTGCTTTGTTTGTTGACCCAGTGTTTCCAGGGCACAGGGTCGGTAGCATGTGAGGAGGGAAGGGAGATGGATGAGGTCCTAGGCCTTCAAGGAGCTACGTACAGGAAAGACTTACAGCGACAACACAGTGGATCTATTAGAGGGTCTAGAGTGGGAGGGGGCATAGAAGACACAGACTTTATGGAGGCATGTGGGGGTAGTTAACCCACCCTTGTGTGGGGGACATTTGGGAGGTCTCCGGAGGAAGAGGTAGATTCTTGAAGCCAAACTCTTTTTAAAAGTACATTTTCTAGCTGGGTGTGGTGGTGCACACTTGTAGTCCCAGCACTTGGGAGGCAGAGGCAGGTGGATCTCTGTGAGTTCAAGGCCAGCCTGGTCTACATAGTGAGTTCCAGGACAGCTGGGGCTACAGGGAGACCCTACTTCAAAAAGACAAAAAAAAAAAGTATATTTTCTTTTTGAGTTTCATACATGTAAATAATGAATTTTAGTTCTTTTCACTGCCTCTCTCCTTCTCTACTGAAACCTTCCCAACAAGTCTTCTTCCAAGACTCATATTGAGAGAGAGAGAGAGAGAGAGGGAGAGAGAGAGACCCACTGAGTTTAATTAGGGTTGCCTGCATGATCACGGGTGGCACTAATCCCTCAGGGTGACGTGGGCCCACATGAGCCCTTCCCTCTTCCTTGATGAAATGGTGACAGGCCTTATCTTGGGAAGGTCTTGAGCAGGTAACCACAGCTGCAGTGAGTTCATGAGAGCTTCTTTGATGTCACATCCAAAAGACACTGTTGGCATCACTTCTTAATCTCTGGTTCTTATACCCTTTCTGCCCATTTTCTATGATGTTCCCTAAGCCTAGGAGTGGGGTGATAAGAGATGTCCCGATTGGGGCCGAGCAGTCCATAGTCACTTACTCTTTGAAGGGAAGCTCTTTTAATGGTAGCTGGGGAAGTGGTTGGGAAGACAAATGACAATGATATAAATCAGGCTGAGAGGCCAAAGAATGAGACATGTTTGAGGACCACAGTGGGTTTATCTAGAGGAGTCTAGGAAAAGACACATTGAGTCATGAAAGCTCTGAGGTTCTTGTCAGGAACAGGGGCTCAATTTTGAGGCCTCAGGATGCATGGAGCATGGAGGGTTTCCAGAAGGGGAGTCACACCATTGGCTTGACATTTCAGGAAAACCAGATCACAAAAATGTCATGAAAATATCATCTCTCTTCTCCAGAAAAACTACAGCTACTCACCTTCCAAAGTCCATCTCATTGGCCACAGCCTTGGGGCCCATGTTGCTGGGGAGGCAGGAAGCCGGATGCCAGGCTTGGGCAGGATTACCGGTAAGACCTGAGTCAGGTCCCCAGAAACCCCAGAATGTGATCACAAGCCTTCAGCTCAGCTGAGAGCTACTCTGAAGGGGCCACTCCTCTTGGCTATGGCAGGGCTGGGAACATCCTGACAGGATATTTTAGGAAGCACATGAGCTCTCATCATTGGCAAGGGCAATGGTAGCTCTGTTTGCTGTGATGCTTCTGCTGGGACCTTAGTCTCTCCTCTCCAGGTCCAGTCTTTCTGGTGATGTGGGTCACTCAGCAGCTCTGAATATAGTTAGCATAGACAGGCGCAAAATATAATTGACTAGGAGCTGTACTGCAAACCCTTTCCTCCTTTTCTTTGAAGGAAAAAGTAGAACCTTGAAACTGAATTCTGCTTTCTTGGTTGGTAAAAGAATCCAAGTTATAAAACTATCAAAAACATCCTTTAACCCTTACTACCAAAGCAGTCTTTAAACCCAACAAAGCCTCTGCACTATAACCAGAGCAACAGACTATACTTAGATGATGACCTCAATGCTATTATTAGAGTAAGCATAAGCTAAGTGCCACTTGCCCCAAATACTGCACAAAGAACTTCACATTGCCCATCTAATTCTCACCTGAATAAGCAGGGCCTGAGAACACATAGATTCTATGATTCTATGCTGATCACTGTGCCACACGTTACTTATCAAAATAGTTCATCAACAACTATATATAATTGATGCAACTATTACTTTCATAGTACCCCAACCTGTGTAAGCCTAACATTATATATCCGTCACTATGATGAGGAATGAAAAATGAGAATATTGAAAATAAAAGATATGCAAGTACATGGAAGAATTTGATGTGGAAAGAACTCTTAGCTCAAGCAAAATTGGAATCCCTTTGCTCGTATGCTCTTCCTCACCATGCTACCGAATGAGCAACGTTGAGGCTCCGTGTCCCCACGTTCCACTACTCCAAGTGTAGTACCTATTGAGTTGGGTGATGCACAGCTTGTGCAACTGTACACCTCAGTCCTTCTGGGACCAACAGTCAGGCCTGTTGTTCTGTCTTGCTGGTCATCTCTTTTAGGGTTGGATCCTGTAGAAGCAAATTTTGAAGGCACTCCTGAAGAGGTTCGGCTGGATCCCTTGGATGCTGAATTTGTTGATGTGATTCACACAGATGCAGCTCCCTTGATTCCATTCTTGGGTGAGCCCCATGGTGTTACAGTGTTCTAGTTGTGGACAAGAGTGATAAAGTTTTAACTCTAACAGTGCTACTCTCCAAAAACCTGTCTCATTACTGCTCCAAATCTTCCAGGTTTTGGAACAAACCAAATGGTGGGTCACCTTGACTTCTTCCCTAATGGAGGTGAGAACATGCCAGGATGCAAGAAGAATGCCCTGTCACAGATTGTGGACCTAGATGGCATCTGGTCAGGTGAAGCCATGGGGGTCAGTCATGGTGGGTGTTCTTCCTTGGGGTGCTCCAGACTTACCATAACAGATGTGTGTGTATGTGCACAGATGTGTGCATATGTGTTCATGTGTACTTATGTGTGCAGATATGAGTGCATGCATGTGTGGAGGCTAGTGGACAATTTTGTGTGTCATTCCTCAGATACTGTCCACCTTTTTTAGTGAGACAAGGACTCTGATTGCCCTGGAACTTATCAAGTAGGCTATGCTGTCTGGCCATTAACCCTGTCTCTACTATTTCATACTGGGATTATATATGCACCACCATGCCCACTTTTTAAAATGTGTTCTAAGGACAAACTCAGGTCCTCATGCTTGCCAGGCAAGCACTTTACTGACTGAACTATCTCCCCAACCCCACTTCAGATCTTCATAATGACAATGCACTTCCCTTTAAAAAATGATTTTTCTTTCTGCATCTTATTTCTGAAAATGTAGCTGCATATTTCTTATAATCTCAGCTCTACTGATTCTTCATTTCCTTAAAACATTGCTGTAGATGTGCTAGACTGTATAAGCAACAGAGAATTACAAAACTGGCTCAAGGTTCTAACCCTGACAGTCAGCTTGTAGTTACCTAATAGCAAAGGGAGAGCCTCAAGACTGAATACCTTGACTTCCAAGATAATTTTTCTGGAAACTTTCCCTGGGAGTCAACATTATGGTTCAAACTTAGGTAGCTAGCTTCAGGTCAGTAGCCCGAATGAGAATGTCCCCAGTGGTGTGCATGCAAAGCCATCTTCGCGGTGAGAGTCATTGCTCACCTTCATTGAGCAGAAATGAAGAACAATCACACACTTCAGGTCAGTAGCCCGAATGAGAATGTCCCCAGTGGTGTGCATGCAAAGTCATCTTCGCGATGAGAGTCATTGCTCACCTTCATTGAGCAGAAATGAAGAACAATCACACGAGGAAGGCTAGAGTGGGGACTACCCACTTGTCGCTGACTAGGCACTTCTGGGGATAAAGGGCATCCTTCAGATTCAACTCTGATGACACTATCTAATGAGGTCAAGACAGCAGTAATTTTAAGCCATGCTAGTCAATGGCAGCATTCAAGCTAAAACACTTAGCGGCATGATCAAATCTGAGTGTAGGTTTTATTAGATTTGATCAAAATGGCTTGGATGCCCTCAATGCAAATATTAAGGACAGGGATATAGGTTGGAATTCTAAAGCTCCACTGGTAATGTCCAAGCAAGTTCAGGCCAGGTCTAGAAAGTATGCAGCGATGTTTGTCAAGTAGTTTGAGTCGGATACCAAGGAAGACTATAAGGAGTGAGAGAACGTGAGAGACTGATGCTCAGATAAAGCCGCTGTAAGGGACTTCACCTTCTTCGTTTGCGTAAGAGCATCATGACAATGTCCTAATGCTGGTTGTGTCACATCTGGGCTGGAGAGATGGCTCAGAGGTTAAGAGCACTGACTGCTCTTATGGAGGACCCAGGTTCGATTCCCAGCACCCACATGGCAGCTAACAACCATCTGCAACTCCAGTTCCAGAGTAATCTGATGTCTTCTTCTGACCTCCACAGGCATTGCACGGCACAGGCACACTTACACACATCCAGGCAGAACACTCATACACATAAAATAAAACAAATGAATAAAATATTTTAAAAATTCTGAGGACATGGTCCCATTCTAGACCCATTAAATATTAAGGACAGGGATATAGGTTGGAATTCTAAAGCTCCACTGGTAATGTCCAAGCAAGTTCAGGCCAGGTCTAGAAAGTATGCAGCGATGTTTGTCAAGTAGTTTGAGTCGGATACCAAGGAAGACTATAAGGAGTGAGAGAACGTGAGAGACTGATGCTCAGATAAAGCCGCTGTAAGGGACTTCACCTTCTTCGTTTGCGTAAGAGCATCATGACAATGTCCTAATGCTGGTTGTGTCACATCTGGGCTGGAGAGATGGCTCAGAGGTTAAGAGCACTGACTGCTCTTATGGAGGACCCAGGTTCGATTCCCAGCACCCACATGGCAGCTAACAACCATCTGCAACTCCAGTTCCAGAGTAATCTGATGTCTTCTTCTGACCTCCACAGGCATTGCACGGCACAGGCGCACTTACACACATCCAGGCAGAACACTCATACACATAAAATAAAATAAATGAATAAAATATTTTTAAAATTCTGAGGACATGGTCCCATTCTAGACCCATCACATGTGGGGAAAGAGGGCCTAGACACTGTCATAGCCTGCCCCCAACCACCTGTGCTGACTTCTTGCTTTGTTTCCCCAGGAACCCGGGACTTTGTGGCTTGCAACCACCTGAGAAGCTACAAATATTACCTGGAGAGCATCCTTAGCCCAGATGGATTCACTGCATACCCCTGTACTTCCTACAGGGCCTTTGAATCTGTAAGCTACTATCCTGCCGTGAGCAATGGACACCATTCACTGTGGGATGGGGGACCTACTGTGCTGATGATCTGCAAGCCTCCTCCCCACATGCTCTGTCCTGTCCCCTTTCCTCATGCTCCTGTGAAATGGAGGGAAGAAAATAAACCATGGGCAAGAGGCAGCAAAAAACAAAACAAACAAAACACCCCAAAACTAGAGCAGATAAGCCATGCGGGAGAGGAAAATTCTGGAAGATTAGAGAATAGAGCCACATAGACATGAACTTAGAAGACTTCTAGCAGGAAGGTTACACTAGAATCTGACTTGCAAAAATGACAGAGTTTAGAAGCAAAAAGTGTGCCTTCTCATAAAGGCAGATCAAACACAGAAGAGGATGTGTAAGGATAGAGTCACCCCCGAGCCAGGGTGAAGGAAAGGCAGGTTACCCCCTTCTGGATCATGAAAGTCCGTGGGAGCAGCCTTTTCCAGTTCTGCATCTGTGGTATCATGTTAGAGACCTGAAATTGGCCAGGGTCAGAGCATTTATACCATAGAAACTGGCAAACTCAGGGGCTGAGGCTGTAGCTCAGTTGGTAGAGTATGTGCCTTGCATGCACAAAGCCCTGGGTTCAGTTCCTAGTACTGCATAAACCAGGTGTTGTGGCACGTGCCTGTAATCCCAGAACTCAAGAGGTAGTGGCAGGAGGATCAGAAGTTCAAGCTTGTCCCCCACTTACATAGTAAGTTCAAAGCTACACTGGACTGCATGAGAACTTGTGTTAAAGGAAATGGTCAAAGAGAAAAAAGTGGTAAACTCTGCAATCAGTGTGGAGAACTGGCTGCTGACCACACTAGGACACTACTGCATGCAAAGTGTGATTGAAGGAACTGTGTTGTACATCAGGGCTGGACGCTCCTGGCAATGAAGGAATTCAGAGATATTGCTAAAAATGGGGATGCTGGGCTGTGGGAAAGTTGCGTATCTGCTTCTCCAGGTATTTTGGCCATAAGAAGACACACCTGCTTCATGGCCCCCCATGTTGTCTTTTCACTAGAACAAGTGCTTTCCTTGTCCAGACCAAGGGTGCCCGCAGATGGGTCACTATGCTGATAAATTTGCTGGCAAGACAAGTGAAGAGCAACAGAAGTTCTTCTTGAACACAGGGGATACCAGGAATTTTACACGTAAGTGGACTACTACTTGCCCAGCTTAAAAAAATAAGTACCATGCCTGTTATCAGCAAAGGCTTGCCCCTGAGCTGAAAGATTTCCGAACACATTGTGATTATCTTAGAGGATACATCCTCTCCAGCCATCCCACTCACTACTCGGCTGAGGTGCAGAACACATCTGCATTTCTTCCATTTTATGTCCATGCTATGGAATTCACGGAAGTCAACAATATGACTCAGGGAATTGTGGCAGTTTTCATGGCTTTAGGACAAGTTAGTTCATCCTACCTTTTCTTTTTAGGACTCTCTCTCTGTCTCTGTCTCTCTCTATCTCTGTCTCTCTCTCTTACACACACACACACACACACACACACACACACTTATTCATTTAGCCTATGTACTTGCTTGATACCAGCTCTCTGCCAGGCTTGTCCCTTTAAGGAACTCACTTCGAATACTGATACCTCTCTCTCTCCATCCATGTGCCCTGTTACCTCTCTGATGTAGAGGAGGGACTTGTAGGGAGGTATGATTTCTCTACAAAATCCACTGAATGCACTTGAATGTGGGGTCCAGATCAGGCATGTTTGGGCCACTTCTGACAAACTTGACTTAAGGACAGTTCCACAAGGTGCTGCCCAGTAAAAACAGTAACTGTATATTTATAGCATTACATAAAAATAATACATCTGTGTAGTTTTGAAAGTCAGGTATATTGAGGTATAATTCACATATAGTAAGATCCATCCTTTTTAGTATATAGCTCTGCTGGTTTGACAAATGAATAGGTTTGTAACCAGCTCCACCACGGAGATGCAAAACCTTTCTATCATTGTGCACATACATATAATTTTTTGGAAGAAGACTGATGAATCAATCCTCCCATTGATGCAGTGATGCTTGGAATTCTTGCCTATATTTAAACAACAACAAAGGAACCATTCAAAAGTATGTATTTGTTCCTCAACCAACACTTATTTATGGGTCACAGAGATGGGCTGCTAGGCACAGGGGATGGAAAGATGAGCAAGCAAGACACTGCTTGTGAAATTTATAATTCGGCAGAGAAGGGAACTCCAAGGGTGTGGGTTTGGTGGGCTGCGGTTGTGGGATTATAGGACGGGGTACCTGACTGTGAGTAGACAAAGGGCAGGACAATGTCTTGGAGATATGAAAGGTAAGTGGAAATTAGACCAAGGTATGTGTATATGTTTTGTCTTTTTGGTGCCATAACTACATGTGTATGGGTTACAAGTTTTGTGTGTGTGTGTGTGTGTGTGTGTGTGTGTATGTGCGTGCGTGTGTACAGGCTCTGAAACTCTGGGTATAATCTAGATGACAGCTCCCTGAATACCAGGGGTCCTGTGTGTGTGTGTGTGTGTGTGCGTGCGTGCGTGCGTGCGTGCGTGCGTGTGTACAGGCTCTGAAACTCTGGGTATAATCTAGATGACCGCTCCCTGAATACCAGGGGTCCTGGGAATGCAGACCTGGCCTGGAGGTGCTTCGAAGTCTGTGTTCTGGAGCTATCCCCCCACATACTTGTGGACTGGAGCCCTGGCTGCTTCCCTTCTTGTTATGAACTACCTCTCTGGAGCAGAGCTGTCCTGCCAAACTTTCTCCAACAATGAGCTTGCTTTGCCCTGCTGAATCCAGAAGCCATTGACTCTTCCTAGCAATTCATTTATTTTTAAATATGTTGTTATTTTTATTTTATTTTATGTATAAATGTGTATTACTTACATGTGTAAGTGCACTGGTGTCATGCAATACCCATGGAGGTCAGAAAAGGGCATCAGATTCCCTAGAACTGGAGTTATGGATGGTTGTTAGCCACCATGTAGGTGCTGGGAAACAAAACTGGGTCCTCTGCAAGAGCAGCCAGTGCTCTTAACTGCTGAGCCATCTCTTCAGCCCTGCATGGCAATTTAAAACTCATAATACAGTTAGTAAACCTGGGGGAATTTTTTTTAATTTAACTTGAATTTAAATATAAGCAGCCACCCATAGCACTACTGGACAGTGCAGGACCAGAGAGGGCCACCCCTGGGTATTAAATGGCTCTGAAAGAGTACTTTGAAATATGGATTAGCATGTGGGATTTTTCATCCTTTGGTGCTCTATGTAAGGGATGGAGGTGATAATCTGGGATTCAGGCAACCTATTTTGTATGTGACTACAGTGAACTCCTTGCTTTGTTCAGGCTGGAGATACGGGGTTTCTGTAACACTGGCTGGAAAAATGGCCACAGGTCAGGTCAAAGTCGCTCTGTTTGGAAGCAAAGGAAACACTCATCAATATGATATCTTCAGGTAATTCCCGTCTGGTGTGCCTAGCACCTAATTGCTTTTAAGCATCTATGGTTTAAAACTACTTATATACTGACATTAATTTTATACTTCTAATAATTCTTCTTTTTGTTTGCTTGTTTTTAGATAGGGTCTCCCAGTATCCCTACGTGGCCTGAAACTGGCTATGTAGACCAGGCTGGTTGCAATCTTACAGAGATTTGCCTGCTAGGATTAAAGACATACGCCACCGTGCCCTACCCTAAACCTAACCATTCATTTTACTCTCAATAGATCAAATTTTTTAAAAATCTATTATTGTACCAGATAGTCTAAGTTCTGATTAGCATAATAACATATGCTAGACTAAGTAGGTAGCTATATAAATAATTCTTCCAGGAAATAATGCAATGATTTGAAAGAGTTTTATCATTTTTTTCTATTAAAAAGTTTTGAAGACAAATTAACTTGGGTTTAAAAAGCAATCCTTGAATAATAGTTCGGAGCCACCAGCCTATTGTCAATTTTCCATTCCTCCATCTTTGATTTGAGGATTAATTTTCAAGAAGACTCATTACTCTACGATAGAAAAGGATGGTGTGGCATGGCTGGCCCTCTGTGGTTGTTACAGTGCACCTGCATGAATCAGACTGTTTCTCTTTCTTTCTGTTTCAAGGGGGATAATTAAGCCAGGCTCTACCCACTCCAATGAATTTGATGCAGAGCTTGATGTGGGAACAATTGAGAAAGTGAAGTTTCTTTGGAATAATTACAAAATAAACCCAACCTTGCCGAAAGTGGGTGCAGCCAAGATCACCGTACAAAAGGGAGAGGAGCAGACTGAGTAGGTATCCTCCCTTGTTAGGTTGTCCCAGGGTGTTTACAGATGAGGTCTACAAGGGAAATTCACCCCAAGGCAGATGAAGGAAAAATTAGAAACTTTGCAATAGAACTAGAGAGTGCTATGGGGACAGTACTTATGGAATCCCTTCCTGAATTCACAGCCTTCTCAATTTCATGCCTAAAGAGGCACAGGACCTTTAGTAGAAAAGAGGGAACTGGAGGGAACTGGATAGTGACCTGGGGAGGCAGAGCAAAGTGCCAGCCCAAGTCTGGCCAGCAGAACATTCCTAGTGAGGCTTTTTTGGGAAGGGGATCTGGATTCCCAGCCACTGGTGATCTTGAGATTTGGTGATTGAATATGGCCAGTGAACTCAGCCCCTTGGGAATGTCATTTCCCCCAGCGGAGAAGAAGGGTTAGCAGAGTGACATGGGGTTGATGCATGGGTCATCAAGCTAGATGGATCTCTGAAGTTCTTCCTCCCTTGCGCCATGAGGAAGGAGGACAGAGAAATCAGTCTGGTCAGGTAGTCAGCAGGATTAAGTGTCCTTTCAGTAAGAATACAACACAGAGGAGATCAAACCTGGCCAGTGGGGAGCCATATGCAGACCTCAGGCATACCAGGGTGTCCCTCTAGCTTCCATTTGAAGATACAGTCTCTAAAGTCAGCTCCCAGAGTTTGTTAGGTAGTGTCCCAAGACCTGGGTCCTGTGACTTGTAGCTAAATTCACTTTAAAAGGTTACTGGAATCTTAAAGTTTTCTGGGGAGAGATGCATACTTTCTAAACATTCTGGAAATCAAACAGGTGTAGTTGAGGCCATTCCTGAGGCCTTGAGACCCTAAGACCCTGAGTACATCTTTTAACTTTTTTTACACATATTTATTTAACGTGTGTTGCAGGGGGGTATAAGTATGTCATGGTGTGTACGCAGAGGTTAGAGGACAACGTGCTGGAGTCAGTTCTTTCTTTCCTGGGGATCAAACTCAGGCTGTCAGACTTGGTGACAAGTGTTTACTTGCTGAGCCATCTTGCTAGCCTGAGAATCTCTCTTAAGAGAGATGTCTGGATGTCTGCCATCACTGGTTAAAATATAAGAAAGTCAAATCCAGCTTCAAACTTCATACGCTATCTTGGGGAATAAAAAATCTCAATAGTCAAATTATTCAAATATTTTTCTTATAAAAATGGCCAGTTATTCTTATTAAATAACACTATTAATAATTTCAAAGAAGATTGTGGATCAAGCTCTGCTTGTGCTCCCATGCTGCAGTCACCTCACTGGGGTTCCAACTGATCCCCAGCACCTGCTGACTAGAATTTCTTCCAGTGATATGAGACCAAAAGAGAAATGAAGCCCACCCTGCCTTTCCTTACTGCCTCTTCTCCCATTCAGTGCCCATCATAAATGTGACTTTGTCAATGACTTCACCAAGTACCTATGTAGGCCTAGAAAATAGAAGCAAAGGTAGAGTCTATGTCCAAGGGGTTTACACTTTAGTTGTTGACAAAAACCAGTCTTCGGGTGCACATGATTTGTCAGATAACATGACCAAATAAAGAACTCAAATAAAAGAGCTCAAGGGAAAAGACCCAGGAAGAAAGAAGAGAGTCCTCAGGAGGCTGTGATGAGGGGAGAGACCCACAAGTCTGAGGAAATGTTGAAAGAAGGACAGGAAGGACAGGGGCAGCAGGTGCTGGGGGACAGGCAGGAGAAGGCCAGGGCTCAAGGTTCAGGGATACTAAGTTAGGACTTCTAGGAAAGACAAATTAGAAAGAGAAAGTGTGGGGACATCAGTAAACACAAGTGAGGAAATAAGACCTGTGGGAGGCATGAGAAACCCTCAGTTCTTACACAACCACAGCAATAGCCACTTGCATCCGCACTGATTTCAGATTAATTAGAAAGCTTTTTACATTTACCATCATGGAATGCTGCAAAATTACCACAGACGTCTCAATAATCATGAAAGGGAGCCCTCCTTCTACAAATGAAGACATCATCAAGTAAGAAGCTATATCCCCACTGGAAGGTGGGAGAGATGTAGGGGACCTTAGGAGAAAGCTACGTCCCCTGGTCCTAGCTCTCAAGGGAGATCTCTTATGGTAGCATAACACTACCATAAGAAATATGGACTATGGCATCAGGTAGACTTGCATTTGCATTTTGGTCCTATAAGGTAGACCTACTCATAAGACCTCCTCACCCATGTGTGATGAGGGTCGTTTATACATGTGAACTCCTGATGTAGTTGTCTGCAGCTGGAAGCTCAGTCTATTACAGATACTACGGTACTCAGTAGAGTCTCAAGAGTAACTGAGGGAAGAGTTCATGACCATCTGTATACCAATCTACTGTGTCCACTGGGATTTATGAGAATAAGAGAAGGGAGGGTGTGACAGGATGGGGACAGAGTCACTTCGGAGCAGGAGCAGGCCCTGTCCTGAGCTGGGTTGGCTCCTCACCGGAAGCACAAGGTGTTTGCAGTCACAGCCCTAGCATACCTCCCTTAGGCTTTGGATATTGCAAAGCAATATCAACTGTTGCTTAACGTCGCCAGTAGAAGTGGCTTTCCTGAGGATGTGAGGACATACCAGTACCAGTACACACCTGCTTTTCTCCACAGGTACCACTTCTGTGGCGAAGACACCGTGAGAGAAGATGTTCTACTCACTCTCATGCCCTGTGAAACCCCAGACACAATGTGAGCCTTTGTTAAAAACCAATAAAACCCTGTGCTGCATTTACCACACAGTGTCTATCTCAGATGTCAGGTGCTACCTGTGAGGTCATTGAGGAGCTGGGCATTTAAAACAGTCACGAGCATTTCTCTGTACATGAGTCTCTCTCTTGGTGTCTACTACCATTTTCCCCCAACTTTCTTGGTCTCCATGCTCACCGTCTTCTCTTTCCCAGAGAAGGTGGAGATTCGTGGCTGAAGTAGAGGCTGAGTGGCCAGGGAACTCTGCAGAATCTTTGTCCCCATGGGTAGCCCGAAAATGATTTATTCCTCCCAGACTTCTGAAGAGCTATGGGCTGGGGCAGGGCACCCCTGGGAAGAAGGGTGGAGCCTAGTGTGGGGAGAGATTGGAACGAAAGGATTTGGCACCAATTCTGGGAAGCAGGGAACAGGGAGCAGGCAAGTCAGCCTGCCCTGGACCCCGTGGGGCAACAGGGAACCTCTCGAGGACCCTCACGGAACTCTGTGGGGTGAGTGGGCATGCCGGGATACGAGATGAGGCAGACCGCAAAAAGCAATCCAGAATGGTGGGCCGAGCAGTGCAGGGCTGGGTGCCAGGTGTCCGGTGTTCGTTTCTTTGTAAATATCTCCTCTCCCTCCCCCCAGAAGTGTAAACTATGCAAAATTCAGATAAAGATGTGGTATGTGGTTTGTCTACTCGCACCAATAGCAAGGGACCCTAAGAGAACTTGGGCGACAAACTGGTGCAACCTGCAGGATCAGGGCACCAGAAAAGACAAACTGCAAGTGTTTGGGAAAAGCAAGGGAGCTAATGGTGGTGCTGACGTGGATTTTACAATGGATTATAAAATATGTAACTGAAAAAGAGCCAGCCACACAGAAGCATGGGCCACAGCTGTGTTGTAAAAGTGGGGAAACAGCCCAATTGCAGGTATATGAAGATTTGTTAAAGGATATAAAAAGGCTAGAAAACTTTTGCAAGCCTGGGATAAAAGCAGAGAACCAGAGAGGGGGTGTGGCCACTGTGCATAATAAAAGATTTGTCCAAGGCAGGGGAAGCTGAAAAGGCAAATTCAGTTGCAGAACTTGAGATAGAAAAAAACAGGACATTTTAACTTGTGTAAGGTCCAAGGACTTCAGAAAAAAGATAATAACGAAAAAGGAAACAACCTAAAAATGAAAATGGCTAAAGCTGCCCCTCAGATTCAACCTTCGATACAGAAAGGAAAGAAAGTTAGCAGTACTGTAGCTAGGAAATACTCCACAATGGAACTGTTAAAACTATGAAAAACCTACAAGCAAGCAATCAGAGAGCCCCTAGGCAGGTGGCTTGTGAGAGTATGGGACATGGGAGCAAATGATGTCAGTCTAAGTCCTTTAGAAGCTTCACAGTTGAGTTATATAACCACCTATCCATGTTTGTGATATAGGCTGTTCAACCTAGGACAATGCAGCGCGGAGCAGTCTTTAATGGGGTGGCTGGTTGAAAGCATTAAAGATACATGGTCATCACCAAGGGAGACTAACATGATTAGCAGGGGCTGGAGGACTATAACGGAGGGGCAGGCATTACTGAGAGAACTAGGTAAGAGAAAAGCAATATATGATGTCCAGTTCACTGGGCCAGATAAGACTGTGTTCACCAGAGATATAGAGGAAAGCTTAATTCAACTGGAACCTCGAGAATGGTAGAATGGTATGGAGCTTTAATGGTTTTGCTAAGCCCTTTAATAGGACAGGATGTTTGTAGAGTGAGAGAGGCTGTGGCAGATCTAAGTGACTCTGACCAATGTGTGAAACGTGGCTGTGTTGTGCCCAGAGAACGGACCCCCAAGAATAACCATGGAATCCAGAGGGCCTGCAAGAACAAAGAGTCTTTATTTGGGCTTAAGCTTGGTCTCTCAGACCGCACCAACGCAATGGATCTGTGCTGAGAGCCCCGATCGCAAGGGGTGGAAGCACTTTATAGGTTTTAGACAAAGGGAGGAGGGGAATAACAGAGTCATACTTTGATTGGTCCAAGGAGCCTGTGCGCACCAACACACTTTTGAATTGATTGGTTATAAGGGATGCAGTCCTGGAGGTTTCTCATTGGTGGGTGCTGCCCTCAGAGCTATGGAATGTGCTGACTGTTATCTATGGGGCCAGAAGTCTGTGGAATGTGCTGACTGTTATCTTCAGGGCTAGAGGACCCTGTTTATTACTTATAAGGCCTCAAACCTGCCCAGGCCCCCTGGACATGCCCAGGCTTGCCTAATCTATGTCCATGAGACATCACAAAAATGGAGGAATCGGCAGTCAAAATGGAGATGGTGCAGTTTGTCCCTCTGGTTCCCTCAAGCCAAGCAATTTCAGAAGCGAAAAAGAGCAGTTAGTCCTAAAGAGGGGCAGGGGTCTTGGGAGTCCAGGGCAGGGGGCCAAGGAGGAGGGCCTCACATTCTCCCCTTTTCTTTGTAACTTAGAGAGGACCCACTCTTGGGTCCAGGTTAGGGTCCCTGATGGGGGGTTCTAGGGGCTGATATTGGGACCTCAGAACCATGAATTGTACTGTACTCACCCTTTCTTTGACAAAGGCAACCAGCCGATTGATGATGCATGGTCCAACAGTTACCAATAATAAGAGGAGGATTATAGATCCAGCTAAGGCTGAGAGCAAAGTGGTGAGCCAGGGAGATGAATTAAACCAAGATTCAAACCATCCTTCCTGAGCCTCTCGCTCTCGCTTCCTCTTTGCTAATCCCTCCCTTACCTTAGCCACAGATTCCTTGACTACCCCTGAATGGTCAATATAAAAACAGCATTCCTCTCCCAAGGCAGCACAAAGCCCTCCTTGCTGCAGAAAAATCAAGTCCAGCCCTCACTGGTTTTGTAATACGACCTCAGCGAGAGATGAGAGAGACTCCTGTAGATGAGAGATTGAATTTTCAAGTCGCTCAATGTCCAGGTCAATGGCAGCCCTTAGATCTGAATAGTATTTGCCCTGAGTAATTAATGAAGCCGTCCCTGTCCCTATCCCTGCCAAGCTAGTACCTATGAGTAAGCTAAGAGTGAGGCCTGTAGCAGTGATAAGTTCCCATGGCCTGCAAGAGAGACCACCCCTCCCCTCGAGGTGACTGAGGATTGCGTCCCCATCGTGATATAGGAGCCGAGGCACCAGGCGAACAAGGACACAAAATCCTCCAGTTTGTTTTAGGACCGCCATAGATGCGCAAGGAGTTAAGCCAGTGGAACATGCCCACCAAGTGTCATTCTGGGGGATCATGTACTCAGATGGGTTACTTAGAGGGAGGGTCCCATTGCAAAGGGTTGCTGTTTTCTCAGTTACATTTCTAATACATAGCCCTTGCCCGGTCACCTGTTGTAGTCTTATAGGATGACGGGGGGAGGGGGACTGACAGCGACACTGATTTGGCTCTTTTGTCTGGGCCACATCGGCCTTCACAGCTATCCCCTCGTAGTAGGAGGGGGCTGTGTCATAACATAACCAGCACAAGCTAGTGAGATCGGACCTTGTAGCATTCAGGACCAAGTAAGATTGTTGTAGTAGATCTACCATGGGGTGTCGTCCCTTATCTAAGTTGGGCTTGGGGTGGCGTCTCTCTGTCCATAGTCCAAGTCTGGTTGCTGCTGAGGTCAGGGGTTGCATGGGTGTAGTTTGCATGGGTGTAGAATCCTGGGAGACTTTGTGGCCTGGAATTGCAGTGGAGCAAAGTTTTGAGATGGTTGCCCATGTGGAGTGCATAGGGGGGTGGGGCTTAAGTATTTTGTTAGGGCCTACTACCGATGGATGCTCTATCGGTTCCACCTTTAGCTTAATTATGATGGTGGAACCTGCATGTCCTCCATATTTATAATATACCATACTCCATCTGAGGCCACTTTGCCAGCACCTGTCTTGTTTTCCTTCGGTGGGAAACGTGACTTTTATTCAGTCCAGATCATGTGGCTCACAGGACTGCCTCCCTGGATTGGGGACGGGCCCATACTGGATGGGGTTAGTATAGGCAAAAGAAACTAAATCTGTCTTTTTCACTGACCATCTCCATTCCCCGTCATCGGAGGTGACACAGGCCCAACTTTTGCAGAAATAGGACTCCCAGCCTCCACATTCCTTCTTGTTGTTACAGTGGCCTGGGCACACGTAAAACCCATGCCTCCTAGCCAGTGCCTGTTGTGCTGAATTATAAACCTGATTTAAATCACACAGACAGAAGTATAAGTTGGGCCACCAGGTGTTCTCGGGGGCCATGTGTGTGACCTGGCTTAGAATATCATTTGTCTCCCCGTCCATGAGAATCCAGGTTAGCTTGCGTGGTTCATGGGGGTTGCCTTCTGTTCCCTCGGGGTGGCAGGTCAAGAATATCAGTAAGATTGGCCAATACATTTTTAGGGGCCCACCTGGAGTCTTAGCTTAAGGGGATTATGCAGGTCAGGCGAGGCAGTCCACTTATCCTCTCCTGGAGACTCAGTCAACTCAGGGTCTGCTGTCTTAGCATGAGAGTGGTGGATCCGTGAGGTGATTCTGTTGACCTTGAGAGCTGTCAGAGTCATCAGGATCATGGTATAGGGTCCCTTCCAATGGGGGTCCAGGGTCTCTCGGCGATGTCTGTGGATGTAGACTCGATCGTCAGGCTGGTAATTGTGGGGGACAGGTGGGGGAGCAGCCTCATAGATGGCTTTCAGCCGGGGCCATGTGTCCCCATGCATCTGGGTCACCACCCCTAAAGAATCAAGCAACTGTTGGTTATCAAATTCAGCGATTAAGTCAGCTCGTAAGTTGGGAAGAATGGGGCGGGTCTACCAAACATGATTTCATATGGGGTTAGTCCTAGTAGATAGGGAGAGTTCCTCACCCTATACAGGGCAAAGGGAAGGAGAGCTATCCAGTCCCCGCCAGTCTCCATGGTCAGTTTGGTAAGGGTCTCTTTTAGAGTTCTGTTCAACCTTTTTACCTGACCTGAACTCTGTGGTCTATATGCACAATGTAATTTCCAATTTGTCCCCAATATCTTAGCTAACAATTGGGTTACCTGTGAAGCAAAGGCAGGCCTGTTGTCGGAGCTCAGAAGGGCTGGGACTCCATACCTGGGTAATATGTCCTCCATCAGTTTCTTGGCTACCACCTGAACAGTCTCATGCTTGGTGGGGAAGGCTTCAGTCCATCCTGAGAAGGTGTCTACCAGAACTAGTAGATATTTGTAACCATACTTGCCTGGCTTAACTTCTGTAAAGTCCATCTCCCAGTGGGCCCTGGTCTAGAGCCCCTCATCCGAGCCCCTTGTTCCTTAGGATGGTTCTCAGCATTGGTCAGCTTGCAACTAAGACATGCAGAGGCAACTGCATTAACCAGTGGGTGGAGATTCAAGACTTTTAAGTGAGCATTTCTTAAGAGTTCAGCTGTCTTCCTTGTACCCAGGTGAGTGGTTCGGTGGCT